TGGTGGTGTCAGTCTCCAGATGAAGAGAAACTAATCACAACACTTACATCTTATGTAAGTTGTCTCCGGTACAGTTTCCAGATGTGGGGATCGTGATATGCACCGTTCGAGCAATCCCCTACATGGAGAGCCCCTGCACCGTGTCCAGAACAGCTTCCTAGGTACGCAGCATGCATAGATGCCATTATACTGTTGTATCGCCTTAACAGAGCTGATGATCGTGGTTGCCGTCGTCGTACACGTCAGGTAGGAATACCGTCTGAGCAGGAAGCCCGGGCCTATTGTGGGACGCGTCCGAGTATACCAAGAGTCGGGGTTTCCATACAGATACAACTGAATACCGAGGCAAGGTGGTGATCAGGCACTGCAACCACTGCTATTTTCAGCGCAAGTTGCCAGACGCTGTGACCAGGATTAGAACGTTCTACTTAAGCTTCACCTTGTCTAAAATCTCCCAGGTTGGCACGGGCCCATCGCATTTAACGATCCAGATCTCCTCGCCCTCCATATCGTCGAGCATCTCATCAGCGTTCCGTCTGTTCGACGGGTCCTCCGAGCAATCTAGCGCGACGCCATCCGCGCGCTCCACAATACGTCCGCTACTTTTCAGCTCCTCCCTGACACGGCCGCGTTCCTCAGCATCGGCGTTATCGATATAGTATAAAGACAGATGAGGGATCGGGGGAACCGCGCTTTCACCAAGACGTCCCCGGAGATGTGCACGCAACGTCGCGAGCGCGTCCGTGTCGAAGACACGGGTGTACACCGACATGAAATACTTGTCGCCAACGTCGACAGACTGAAATTTGGGACGAATCGCGGGCTGCTGCGACGGTATGGCTTCTTTGAGGCCAGCCACAGTCGGCGTGGTCGCGAGCGTGACGTGTGGGTGGAAGTCAGGGAAAGAGGACGGCGAGTTGGGAGTGCTACGCTTGATCGCCATGACGCGCTTGAGCAGGGCAGTTTGCTTTGAGTTTGGGACGAGCCATAGCGAGATGCCTTCATAGTGTTAGATGATATGGTGTGTGTAACGTGTTTGCGGGCGTACCCATGTTACTCCAAGCGTATGTACGTGCACAAAGGCAGCCTGCTCATCGTGACGGTGAGTAGACACGTGTTGTCTCTTGGCCCATATTTGGGCTCATGGACCCACAAGAACAAACAAGGGTTAGAACTGACCGGGACCACTTCTCGCTGTACCGTAACCCCCGTCGTCCATCCTACCACAGCTGCTACTTACTCCTCTGACAATACATTCATGCCCAACTTGCATGCCACGACCAGTGAACTAGAGAGATCTGACACTCCAGCCAAGATTCACATGTACGCCTGACTGCTGAATGTAGACTGTATTGTTGTGTCGGCAAACCAGAAAACAATACGCTCGGGAACTCACAACGGTAACCTGCGATACTGTCTACATCATACGACACGCTGGTTAGGATCACATCGGAGACCATCACGGCGCTTTTCCAGACAAGAATTCAGGCCTGTAAGGGCTGGCACTCGCTAGGCGGCGGTGTGACATGGCAACGCCTCTACAACGCTTGACAATAGGTGACAACTCATTAAGAGTGGGGTACTTATGTCTAGCTGTGAGCAAGCTTTTCGTAGTACTCCCTTCTGGTTGACGCGAAAATGAGCCGTACTGAGTAAGTCCAAGAGGCAGTAGCAGCACGGCGTGTTCGCAGGCTGACCTTTTGAGAGCAGTTCTCCACACCACCCGAGACCGTCACGTCTACGAAGGTCGTCTCCCACTTTAGAAAAGAAAACGAATAAGCAAATGTACTTACCGCCGAGTCCGATCTTGTAAGTCCCCTTTGCCTGCGGCTGTCTCGACTTTACCTCATTACCTCTATAGAATGCCCATAGACGAGCTCGCAGAAGATATGGGACTCTACATGGCAGCCCACCGCGTGAAAAATGACCGCACGGTAGCCCTGTACCTCCGCATGGAAGAACACTACACCGCCGCCATCGCACATTGCGATAGTTGGCTGAGAGTCCACAGAAAGGAGCACGGGGTCCCCACCAAGCTGGACCGACATTCGTCGAGCTGGCGCCAGCATCGAGCTGATCTTGACGACGCGTTGGCACGCCTCAGAGACGCCGGTGTCACCACTTACGATCCCAGTCGTGGTCCCCCTCTCCCCGGCTCTCTCGCGCCAAATTCCATGAGCGACGCACGCCAAGCGCGACTGCACTGGCTCGCGCTCCAACCCGAGCAACGCGACGAGGCAGCGTTCACCAGATATGAGGTCGACAGCCGGAAGGCGGCATACACGAAGCAGCTGCTCGTGCTGAAGAAGGCCGAAGAGCTGCACTGGCAGGCGATGCGCCTGTTGTTGAGGGCGCGTGTCAAGGCGGCGCGCCGGAGGGGGCTGAGGAACTTGCGATGTGTCGTGTGCCTGAACCGTACCCCGTATGCCGTCTTCCAGGACAGAGAGCGGGAGCAGAAGGACTCGATGAGACGTCGGCGGACCTGGCGCAGAGTCGGTAAAACGGTCATTTGGCTGCAAAAAGCGAACCACATGACAAGAGAGCCTGAGTCACGGAGCGATAGTGGGATAGACGCATAACTCGAGGTATGAGTGGAGGAAGAGGCTGTCCGTCATACATTATACACTAATTTTGTACATACATCGCGCTGCAGCTAATTGGTGTACAACAGGGATCTGGAGTAGGAAGCACGCTAGCGAATACAACGGGCGAGTCGGTTAGAAACCCAATGACGAGCAGAGCCTCTCTACCTAAAATGATACAACTCTGATTCAACACACGCCTCCAACATCAAGTTACATCGCAGCACAGAATTACTCATCCTTGACGCTGATCCACGATTCGCCCACCCCGGATCCAGCATTGCTCTCAACGTCTGCTTCCGAGCCCGTCTCGGACGCATTGTCCTGCTGTTCGGGATCGGAATCCACTGCGTGTTCTTGAACCGCCGGTTGTGATTCCAATTGCGAGGCGATGGCTGGTGCAGCCGGAGCCGCAGGGGGGACTGGCGGAGTATATGCTGACTGAGGGAGGATGACGTGCGGCTGAATAGGGAGGAGAGCATTCCGGATCGAGATGAGGAAGTGAGGGATGTTCAGAATGGTGTCTAGAAGTACGCCGGGGAGGTAGGAGGCCATCGCATAGGTCCGTGCTGTGAGCCGCCGATCAGCGGGAAGCCAAAACAACGTCAGACGTCAGCTCACCTCCAGCACCGACCACGACCCTGTCACCACGAATGTAATTGCGAATCCGACCTAACACGAGATGGACCATGGCAGCGGTCGGATGCTTGCTGCTCTTCCGCCCACCACTGACCACATCCACGATGGTGTCCACGAACACCGAGACGTCAGTCGGCGTCCTGCGCACGCCGTAGTGTGCACCTTCCTCGACAAGAGCCTCGAACGCCGTCCCGTATGCTACCTTCTCGCTAGGCGTCCAGTCCTCCACGCTGCTGCGGGCATCCTGGACGGGCTCTCCGGCAGCAGTCGCACCAGCGATAGTCCCCACGTCGACCACGACAACCTTGAGATTCTTCATGCTTGCACTGGAGTCCGTCAGCGCTGCCATCTTGACCTCCCTCCGGAGCACCTCGACCGCGCGGAGGGTGGCCGCAGCGCTCATCGCCTGCGCACCAGCGAACGGAAGCCCAACGCGCGCGTCGATGGCAGGCAGGCAGACGACGACGCTCCTCTTGCCGAGGTTGTTGGTGAGCGCGTCGCGTGCACGGGCAGGGGAGGCGCGGAGGAGCGGCAGCATCGCTTGGATGATCTGCAGGGGCGTGATGTGCGTCGCGGTCAGGTAGGATGAGTACGCGTCGTGGAGGGTCAGGTGCTCCAGGGGCGCGGGGGGCGGTATTATGGAGGGGGAAGGGAGTGTGAGGAGCGAGATGACGGAGTGCACGTAGAGGTGAGTAGAGGGCGAGGCGTGCGGGTCGCCGGCGGCGGTGACGGGGAAGCGGCGCGAGAGCGTCGAGGAGAGAGAGCGGAGGAAGTAGGGAGTCGTTCCGGGCTTCATGGGCGCAGTGTTAGACAGGTGAAGCACGCGACATGCGAGCACCCACCTCTGAGGGATCGAGCACCAGGGCGCGTACATAGCCATGGCAATTCCGCTCGATTTCCGCGACGGCCTCGGGCGTCGACACGCTGGCAATCACGACATAACCCTTCTTCTCGAGCTCGAGGATGAGTGGCAGCGCAGAAGGCGCGTCCCCGCCGAGGACCACTGCGATCGTAGATCAGTGCGATGTCAGGCATGTCGCGCCTCGTGTACTCACCGACCACCTGTCTACGGTCCGAAGTCGCTGTCGCCCTCACCCTCACTGTGGCAGAGCCCGTATGGTAGTAGCCGTAGCCAACCAGCAGCCCTGTGCCGACCGCTCCGATGGTGATTCCAGCGGTAGTCCATGGGTGGTCGGCGACCCAGTTGGCGGTGTGCTGGAGAAAGGACTGCGCGGGCGGGGGCGGCGGAGGCGGTGGAGGCGGCGGGACCTCGAATGCACCCAGCCCGGGGATATGGAGATCGGGAAGAGGTGGGAGAGACTGGGGACCGAAGCGAGAGACGTCCTCCCAGAGACGATGGATCGCTTCGCTCACCCGGGGTAGATCAGGAGTAGCCGCCTGCAGGGAGGAGAAGAGTAGCTCCTCGAGTGACTGCATGTAGTCCTCGATCTGCTCAACGGTCGGCAGCACGCTTGGCATGTTGGCGACGGTAGTGTCAACGAGGACGAACCGGGAAGGATAGTCGATAGCAGACGGCGGCAGAAAGCAGCACTCGCAGTGAGGCCTCCGCTCCGCCTACATACGCAAGCGCGCTTGGCCGCTGGCGCCACCGGCCTCGACGCGTCCGGTGGGCGTTTAATATTCCCACCCAGATGCCTTATTCGGTAACACGATCAACTGAACGTCCGCCCAGACTCTGCACATCATCCATATAGCTTCAACCCTCAGGCCTCATCAAAAAATGCGCATCTATGTATCAGACTGAATTAAACCAAAAAACGACGCCAGCAGGATTCGAACCTGCGCCCTCAAAGAGGAACAGATCAAGATGATTGAGTTACTTGTAACTACTCGGTTCTAATCTGTCGCCGTAACCACTTGGCTATAGCGCCTTACAGTGCAGTTGATTGATATGAGTTACTATAATGGGTCAGGATCTCGGACAGCCTAAGGTAGGGGACACAAGGAACCACCCCCTTTACATAATGTATTAGTAATACAGTCCCATGGCCAAATCCTCAGGCAGCAGTCCGAGCAATGTAAGTTACCTTGTGACAGCAAGGTTTCTGTGTTGAACTTCGACTATTTTAGGTGTTAGATAATGGGATAGGACTTATCCTTACCCGTTATGGACTTGTGTTCTACGTTGCTACATATTACATACATTCTTTACAGACTTGATCCAGACCTGTAGCACATGATT